AAAGTCCAAAGTTCCCTGGAGGGACCCCAGGACCAGCCTGGCTACCTTGTTTAGGGATATACGGGTGATGTTTTATGATTGGTTTAATTGATTTCACAATGTGGCTTGACTGTATCACCAGTAGGCTATTAAAGACACCACTAGAATCTTTTACAGCGGAGCTCCCCTAAAGCCAGGATTCCTTGCACATGTCTTTGTGGCTCATAATGGAAAAACAAAACACCGCCTGAGCAAGGAGAAAGGACCCTGGGGAGCTGCACCTGGAGGTCTCTAGGGTCCCCCATGATTGCTGGAGCTTTCTTCTCCTGCCATGCTTGACCTTTAGTACAGGCTAAGTGAGTTCACCCTGAGGTGTGTTGTGAGGGTTTCCAATGATTTGGCCCTGTGTAATCACTGCTGTATCAGGTTCTTTTTATGTGTTATCTATGATAACTCGAAGTGATAGAATGATAAGCCTTTAATCAGTTAAGAAAGCCAAGGTTTAGATGCTAAATGACGGCTGTATGTGACACTGTCACCGAGCAGCAAACAGTAAAGGTGAAAAGCAGACTGCTCTGATGTGATGCCTGTTCCTGGTGCTACACATGGATGGAGTCCACAAACTTTTTTGAATGGCCTTTAGTCTTATTTTGAATGTTCCCCATTGGCTCCAGCAACCGAGAGGGGAGTCCCTCTTAGAATCTCCTGTCCTTGGGCACATGTTCCAGCCAGGTAGGTTACCAAGACAGGCTATCTCCCCAATACTAGAAATCCCTAATATGACCAATTGCCCAATCATCAAAATGAAGAAAGGTGGTAGACAGGCAGTTTTCACACAAAAGGAAAGGCTCATTTACATGTGAAAACATGCTAACGCTCCCTCATGAGAGAAAAATCCAAGTGCACATGCACCGACTTCCTTTTTTCACGTATCAGAATGGCCACCATCAAATTTGAGGCAAAGCACGCTATGAGCAAGAGCACAGGAAATCAGGCTCTCAGTGTAAACCTTTCCTGATGGAGAATAACTTGGCAACGTTTATTAAAATTACAGAGGCTTAGACTCTTTGACCCAGCAATTTGGTTTCTGGGAATTCATTCTACAGATATCCTTGCACATGTATGAAATGATACACACGTAAGATTAGGCATTACAGCACTGTTTGTAATAGCAATAGGTTGGAAACAACCCAGCTGTCCAGCAGCACGGGACCGGTTTGTAGATTATGGTGAATCCACACACAGATTCCTCTGGAGCTGTAAAGAGGAATGCAGCTGTCTATGTCACGATAAGCAAAGAGACGTTGTTGTATGAGAAAGCATGTGCTGGACAATGTGTAAAACATGCTACTTTTTATATAAAAACGGGGAAATAAATATATATTAGTATTTGCTTGCACGAGGATAAATAAACTCTGAAAATATTCACAAGGATTTCAAAATGTCCCTAGAATGGTGGTGCTAAGGAACCAAACAGATAGGAGACAGGACAAGAAGAATTATTATCAGATACTCTTATAATTAAATGCAAGTAAATGTATACATATATTTAATAAGAGATGGGCTATTCTAATAACAATCCTAAATATTTAAAAATAAATAAACCAAGACTGAACCACACATTGTGGAAAAATTCCAAGAACACAGTTCCCACTGGAGATTCCCCAAAGATGCTTATTTTTACTGGGGACAGCAATTCTAACTGGTCATAGCTTTAGAGTACAGGGTCAATTGTGCAAATTCACAAATAGCCAAAAGGAACGTGAATTTGCAAAACTCTAACCGCTAAGAGTAAACAAGGGGTCAGAAACTCTCAGAGTTGCTTAATACACGACAACATGTATAATAGCTTCATTCCACAGCTTTTTACACTCTTGAAATGTTTGTTTGTTTCTTTCCTTTATAAAATAATGCATGTTCATGTTCTTAAATGGTAATTACAAGCATGGAAACCCAAGAAAATAAGCCTATCATAACCAAAACACAACCTTCATAATTATTTCCACTCTTTTTCCTCCTCTTTGCTGCTGCCACTTCTTTCTTTCTTTTTTTTTCTAATAGACTTTATTTTTTAGAGCAGTTTTAGGTTGATAGCAAAATTAAGTGGAAGGTACAGAGATTTCCCGTATACCCCTGGCTGCCGCACCTGCATAGACTCTCCTAATATCAACATCCCCCACCAGAGAGGTACATTTATTACAACCGATGAACCTGCAGTGACACATCATTTTCACTCAAAGTCCCTAGTTCACATTAATGTTCACTCTTGATGTATGTCCTATGGGTTTGGACAAAGTAATAACGACATGTATCCACTATTGTAATATTATACAGAATAGTTTCCCTGCCCTTGAAATCCTCTTCATCCCTCCCCTAACCCCTGGCAACCTCTGATCTTTCTTTCCGCTGTCTCCACAGTGTTGCCTTTTCCAGAATGTCATATAGCTGGAATCATACAGTACGTAGCCTTTTCAGACTGGCTTCTTTCACTTAATAATATGCATGTAAGGTTTTTCCATGTTTTTTTCATGGCTTGCTAGCTCAGTTCTTTTTTCCACTGTCTGCATGTACCACAGATTATTTATCCACTTACTAACTGAAGATGTCTTGGTTGCACCCGAGTTTTGGCAATTACGATAAAGATGACATAAACATCCATGCGCAGCTTTTTGTGTGGATATAAGTTTTAAACTCTTCCTATAGATTTTATACATTTTTATCATACTGTATGGCAATTTTGCATCCTTCTTTTTATGTAATCTACGCTCCCCATATTGTTACATTCTTACAACATTCCAGTGAAAAGATAAGCCATTTCCTAACATCTAAACATCTCATTTGTTTCCCAGTTTGATATGCAAAAAACACAGCTAAAAATATATTTGTGCATAATGGATTTTCATTTTTAGACTTTCATTTTGTTAGATTCTTAGAGCTCGAATTACTGTCACAGACAAGGACCATTTTAAAGGCTATTTAATACCCACTGTCAAAACAATTTCCAAGTCAGGAGCTATTGGGTTAACAAATGAGAGTATCTATGTTGTCACTTTTTTTAACGTCAACTTTATCAATTTAAAAAATGACTCATTTAATGAAGAAAACTGTGATCCCCTTTTCCCTTGCATGTCTACGGTTGCTAGTGACCACGATCATTTCCCATGTCTGTTTGACGTGTCTCCTTATTCATGATGTTGTGGACATCTTCTGCTATTATTTAGGATCTTGAGTTTTTCTTATAGATTTGCATGCACCTTTTACATCAGTCTGACATATTTATTGAAAATATTTCCTCCAATTCCCTTTGAATTTTGGCTTCTCGTTAAATGTGCAACTTTTCTTTGTTTTTGCTAATACCTTCTGGTATTTTCCTTTCTTCTGTTGCCTCTGAGCTTGGATAATCTCCCCAACTGCATCTTACACACTGCAGAGTCAAACAGCATTTCCACCTCCTCTTCTCTTTTCTAGGATTTGATTCTTTAGCTCTTTAATATAAAATGGAGGCTTCCAGAATATCATTTATATGAACTTACGCCATCATGCCCAGGGCTTTCAGTCAGCTGAAAAGCTCTGCTTTGTCATCACCATTTTCCTTCAAAACAGTAAAATGCACTAAACTAAATTTAGTTTTCATTCATATTTTTACAATAAGACCTCATATAGATAATGATTCACCACAATGACATACGATAGACAATTTTTCCCTCAAAATCTTGTTTCTGTCATTGAGTTAGCAGAGCTGGTAAAAACTATTGCCTTAGAAAGCCCACCTTATGATTACCTTACAAGAAGCTGTTCTACATCTTGGGTTGAAACAAGGCTGCATTTTGTCTCTGACACAACACAGTGTTGCTGGAGCCAATCAAACTGAGAAAGACAGAAAATAGGCCCAGAAACTCCCTCTAATTTACAAAGTGGTAGGATCAGAGAGCAGCGCTATTCGTGGGCAGCTCCTTGCTGAGGGTGGCTGTTTTTCTGTCTCCAACAAGGCAGGAGGGGGCACTTACGGGGCCCCTGTTGTAAGATGTGCACAGTTCCGACCTGGCCACTGCCCAGAATGAGTCTTTGCTGCACACTTGACACGAAGAGGCTGGATTTAGTGAACAGGTCAAGGGGCCTCTAGAGGCCTGCACTAAAG